ATCCCAGGAGGGGAAAACAACAACAACTTATGTCAGAACATATGAAGAGCTCCTAAAAGTAAAGAAAAATGGCTGGGAGCATAGTTCAGTGGTACAATATGGGCTTAGCAATGCACAAGGCTCTGGGTTTAATTACTAGCACACACATGTACCTGCACACATAAAGAAAGAAGAAAAAGAAAAGAAAGATTGGGGGGCTGGGGATGTGGCTCAGCAGTAGAGTGATTGCCTAGCACATGCGAGGCCCTGGGTTCAATCCTCAGCACCACATAAAAATAATTAAACAAAATAAAGGTATTGTGTCGAACTACAACTAAAAAATAAAAAAGATTGGGGCTGGGATTACGGCTCAGAGGTAGAGTGCTTGCTTAGCATTCGTGAGGCACTGGGTTCAATTCTCAGCACCATATAAAAATAATAAAATAAAGTTATGTACACCTATAACTAAAAACTAAATGTTAAAAAAAGAAAAAGACAAACATAAGAAATATAGGCAAAGGATAGAACTAGAAAATTCACAGCTAGGCATGGTGGTGCACACCTATAATCCCAATAATTTGGGAAGCTGAGGCAGGATAATCATCAAGTTCAAGGCCAGTCTCAGCAATTTAGCAAGGCTCTGTCTCAAAATAAAAAATAAAAAAAGAAGGCTGGGGATATAGCTCAGTTGGTAGAGTGAGTGCTTGCTCTGCATGCACAAGGCCCTGGGTTCAATCCCCCCCACACACACACACAAAGGGGGGGCACAGCTGGGGATCCCTGGGTTAAATCCTCAGTTAAAAAAATTAAATTAAATTTTAAAAAATAAATTAATAAAAAAATTCACAAGACTCAAATCCTAATGAGTTGTATTTTCTTCCCTTGGTTTTCAGACCATTTCCCCCTGTGGCTTCAATGGCTCCTTATGCTTCTGTTGATGGTCCTTTCTTGCACCCCCTTAACCTTGTAGCACCCAGGGCACTGTCTTTGGTCCTCTTTTCTTCTTGTCTACACCCACTCACTGGAACCTTCATCCAGTCTCAGGTTCTCAACCTGTCTCCTTGGGTTCATGTTCTACCCCAGATTTTAAAACACTGCAATGAACTTGTTTTAAGAACTCATCATTTTTATGTATTTTGGTGCTGGAGGAGGAGGTTTCATGGATTTATGTGTGTAAATGCTTATGTATATTCAAGACATTATTTCTATAGGTGCAAAGGTACATGTATGGCTATATGCGTGGAAAAGCCCAGGCAGTGAAACACTGAGTTATTATCAGTATTTATCTTTACAGTGTGGGATTACTAGAACTTTTAAAATATCATTAGGCTCATCAAACAAAACTGTGGTGTTGTCTATACATATAACCTAAGTGTGTAACAATGGGTTACGTGTGTTAGTGCTCGTCCACACTTAGAACTATATACAACCGTTAGAAAAGCATGTTCGATATGGTAAAATTATCATCATTAGATTCTAGATAAAACAGTATGAGATGCCAGATATACGTTCTAGATAGCATGATGCGTTTTATCCATTAAAACAAAACAAAACAAACAAAAAAACTGTGCCTAGAGAAAAGATTTCAAGGAAATGTATCAAAATGTTACCTGCGCATCTCTCCAGGTGCTGGTGTGAAAAGAGATTTTAGCGATTTTTAGCTTCGCGTATTTTTCAATTTCCGAAAAAAAAAAATGAGGGTCATTTTCACCCTAAACCTAAGGCGACGGGAGGAGTTATTTTGCTTTTTATGCAGCAAATCGCTCTCCACCGAGAGCAGTGGCAGCGCAGAGCGTCACCGCCTGTGCGGTTACCGGCGGGTCACCCGGAGGCCCGAGCACTGGCCGGTCCCGCAGGCCGCAGCGCCCCCGGTGGCAGGTCCGGGGCGGCGGGAAGGGGATGGGCACGGAGGACCGGGAGGCGGCGCCGGGCGTCCCCGCGCTTCCCGCGAGATCCCGCTCCGTGTGCTCCGCCCCGATCGCCGCGCTCTCAGATCCCCGCGCCGCGGCACTTCCTGCCTTCCGCGCCCGCGCCTCCCACTCTCACCCGTGCCCGTCGCCTGCCACCAGCCGCCCGGCGCCGCCCCAGGAGGTGCCCCCGGCCCGGCCGGGTCACCGCCCCGCCCGCCGCCCCGCGAGCCGCTTTGTCTCGGGCGGGGCGCGCGGGAGAGGCCGCCAAGTGCCCCCCGCCGCGGGCCCGGGCCCCCCGCCCCGGGGCGGCTGCGGCGGTGCCGGGCCCCGGGGCGGGGGGCGCGCCGGGATGGGCCCCAAGCGGCGGCAGCTGACGTTCCGGGAGAAGTCGCGGATCATCCAGGAGGTGGAGGAGAACCCGGACCTGCGCAAGGGCGAGATCGCGCGGCGCTTCAACATCCCGCCGTCCACGCTGAGCACCATCCTGAAGAACAAGCGCGCCATCCTGGCGTCGGAGCGCAAGTACGGTGTGGCCTCCACCTGCCGCAAGACCAACAAGCTGTCCCCCTATGACAAGCTGGAGGGATTGCTCATAGCCTGGTTCCAGCAGATCCGCGCCGCTGGCCTGCCCGTCAAGGGCATCATCCTCAAGGAGAAGGCTCTGCGTATAGCCGAGGAGCTGGGCATGGACGACTTCACTGCCTCCAACGGTTGGCTGGACCGCTTCCGCCGGCGCCATGGTGTGGTGTCCTGCAGTGGTGTGGCCCGTGCCCGGGGACGAAACAGTGCTCCCCGGACCCCAGCAGCACCTGCCAGCCCTGCTGCTGTGCCCTCGGAGGGCAGCGGTGGGAGTACGCCTGGCTGGCGCGCCCGGGAGGAGCAACCGCCGTCTGTGGCCGAGGGATACGCCTCCCAGGACGTGTTCAGCGCCACCGAGACCAGTCTTTGGTATGACTTTCTGCCCGACCAGGCGGCGGGGCTGTGCGGAGGCGATGGAAGGGCGCGCCAAGCCACCCAGCGCTTAAGCGTCTTGCTGTGCGCCAATGCCGATGGCAGCGAGAAGCTACCCCCTTTGGTGGCCGGCAAATCAGCTAAGCCTCGTGCGGGACAAGGTGGCCTGCCCTGCGACTACACCGCCAACTCTAAGGGTGGTGTCACCACCCAGGCACTGGCCAAATACTTGAAAGCCCTGGACACCCGAATGGCTGCAGAGTCTCGCCGGGTCCTGCTGCTGGCAGGCCGCTTGGCTGCCCAGTCCCTGGACACTTCAGGCCTGAGGCACGTGCAGTTGGCCTTCTTTCCTCCGGGCACTGTGCATCCCTTGGAGCGAGGAGTGGTCCAACAGGTGAAAGGCCACTATCGCCAGGCTATGCTGCTGAAGGCCATGGCCGCCCTAGAGGGCCAGGATCGCTCAGGCCTGCAGCTGGGCCTCATGGAGGCCCTGCACTTTGTGGCTGCAGCGTGGCAGGCAGTGGAGCCTTCGGACATAGCCACCTGTTTTCGGGAGGCTGGTTTTGGAGGTGGCCCTAATGCCACCATCACCACTTCCCTCAAGAGTGAGGGAGAAGAAGAGGAAGAGGAGGAGGAGGAAGAAGAAGAGGAGGAAGAAGAAGAGGAGGAGGGTGAAGGGGAAGAGGAGGAGGAGGAAGAAGAAGAAGGGGAGGAGGAGGAGGAAGGAGGAGAAGGAGAGGAGTTGGGGGAGGAAGAGGAGGTGGAGGAGGAGGGTGATGTTGATGACAGTGATGAAGAAGAGGAGGAAGAGGAGGAAAGCTCTTCTGAGGGCTTGGAGGCCGAGGACTGGGCCCAGGGAGTAGTGGAGGCTGGAGGCAGCTTTGGGGGTTACAGCGCCCAGGAGGAGGCACAGTGCCCTACCCTCCATTTCTTGGAAGGTGGGGAGGACTCAGAGTCAGACAGTGAGGAAGAGGAGGAAGATGAGGATGAGGATGAGGATGATGAAGATGACGAAGATGATGATGAGGATAGTGATGAGGTGCCTGTACCCAGCTTTGGGGAGGCCATGGCTTACTTTGCCATGGTCAAGAGGTACCTGACCTCCTTCCCCATTGATGACCGTGTGCAGAGCCACATCCTCCACTTGGAACATGATCTGGTGCACGTGACTAGGAAGAACCACGCCAGGCAGGCGGGAGTTCGGGGTCTTGGACATCAAAGCTGAGCCCCTGGGCATAGCCATTGCCTGACCCAGAAGGGCAGCACCAGCCCTGGGGCAGAGAACTCTGTGCAACCACTGTGGATGGAGCCAGAAGGGGGGAGCCCCAGGGCCTTTAGTAATGTTTCCCTGGCCCTGAGATAGGCCCAGGGGCTGAGGTCTGCCTCACTGCCTGCTTATTGCCTCTTTCTCAAAATCCTTTCCTCCCCATTTGCCCCTGGGCTAGGGGACCAGGTGGGGTGAGTGGGGAGCTGTCCGGTGCTACCATACCGTGCCATCAGTGGACTAGACCATAGTGGCAGCCAGGGATGGGCCCTGGAAGCTCCCGGCCGGAGAGTGCCTCTCCCCCTGCCGTCCATACCAGGTCTTCGGTGGGGGGGACCTCAAAGCCATTCTGGGAAGGGCTCCAGAGGAAGGTCCAGCCTGGGTCCCCACAAGGCTGGCAGCCCCACCCCCACCCCTGGGCCGCCTCAAGAAGCACAGTCTAACTCATGGCAGGCTCCTAAGCTTGCCTCTGCCTGCTTTCCACCTCCCTAATCCCTTCCTTTGGCCCAGTCCTTGTGACTTTGGCCCTTGGTTTTCTTTTCAGATTGGAGGTTTCCAAGAGGCCCTTCAGGGGAGTGATACTGGGTACCTCCCCTGTGGGCAGCTGCAGGCCCTGTGCCTCTCATCCCTCTCTGGCAGGGCCCCATCCTGGGCAGAGGGGCCTGGGGCTGGGCCCAGAGTCCAGCCATCCAGCTGCTCCTTTCCCAGTTTGAATTCAATAAATCTGTCCACTCCCCTTTTGTGGGGGTGAACGTTTTAACAGCCAAGGGTGCATCCTTCATGGTCTGGGCTTGCGTCTGTCTTGGGGGACACATGCTTTCCCTCTTCCCTTTGGTCCTTGCTCTGGTGGGACATAGAAGCAAGGGTTGAGAGGGTGGGTGGCCCTGATTGGGGTGAGGGGCAGCAGGAGCTGTCAACATCCATGTCTAAGAGTTATTTATAGAGACTTGGGAAAGAAGGGGTCTTCAGTGTACCCATCTAAGGGTAGATTTGAGGAAGCCTACACCTGCACTGCTTTGGGGTTACAGAGAAGCTCTTGGTCACTTGGCTGGGGGCAGGAAAGAGGGAGCCAATAGTCTGTCGGGCTAAATCAGACAATATGCACCTGAGGGCTAGACCTACCAAGGCTGGTTAAAGAAGATCCTTGCAAGAATTGGACTAGAACAGAAAGTTTGTTGGGACAGCTCTTGTGGGTCAAATTGGAGTTTGGAGGAGCATATGGAGAACCCTTTGATTTGCCTTTGGTGCCTTAGAGAGATGTTTTTGTTTTTTGAGGTCTTTCTCAGGCTGCTCTCAAACTCCTGGTTCAAATGATCCTACTGCTATACTCTCCTGAGTAGTTGGGATATAGGCATGCTGGTGGTACCTGGTTAAGGCCTTTCATTGATGGCCCTCTGCAAACCTGGTGGCCACCTTTGCAGACAGTGGTAGGAGGAAGGTGAAATTTTCTAGGAGCAAATTGTACCACCAAGAAGTTGATGCAGTGCCCTCCAGGGGCTCCCCTGTCCAAAAGTGAGAACAAGCCCTTTTCTGTCCTACGCCTCCTGTTTTCAGGGCCCAGTACTTTTCTCCATAACCCTCCCTCATTGAAGCCCTCAGGCCCCAGAGGTTCCAGCCAGGGGAGGGCCTGAGCCTGAGTAGGGCAGGCAGCTCTGGGGCTCAAACCGGTTTTCCCACCCTGCCTGGGACTGGCACTTCACCTCTGGTTTCCTCCCAACCCCTCACCACCCTTTTGCTACCAAGTTCCTCTTCTCTCTACCCTGGAATGTTGGGTGGGGGATATTCTTTGCCTGCACTGGGTGTGGTTCCTCCCGGAAAGGCAAGGCCATTGTGCATCACTTTAAAACAAGAAGGTGGGGTGACTTCCACTTTTGGCCTTCTGCACTTTTGGCCTTCTGCACTTTTGGCACTCCCCTCCAGGCCTTGAAGGCTTTGAAACAAAGTGACAACAAAAAGGACTTGAGATTATCCGTTGGCATCACCCCCATTCCTTTATCTGAACTCTGGAGGAGGAGACCAGGGAGCCAAAATCAAGCCCAACCTACCCCCCCCACATCCCATGTGCTCTGGAGTGAGTAGGAGGGAACAGTGGTGTTCTCCCCAAGTGACCCTGGCCAACTCAGGTCCCTTACTTCAAGTACTAACTAGGCAAATCACTTCCAGCTGTTTTTTGTCAACAAGAACACCTCTTGCTGGAACTGAGATGATCTCATTAGTGATCATACTGCTGATACTAATAGGGCCTTACAGTGTATCAGGCTTTAAACACTTTCCAAAGTGCCCACAAGATAGGAAAAACCATGACAAATAGGCATAGAGAGGTTTGGTGATGTACCCAAAGCCACACTTGTGTTAGAAGGAAGCTTTATCCCCAGGCTGACCCTAGAAGTACTCCTTTACTGCTACCCTGTACCTATTAATTAATGAGGGATCCAGAAGTGGAGCTGTTTACTAAAATCAATTGCTAATGCAGATAGATTTAGCTCTTGCTTCTGTACCTATAACCAACTCCCATTACCCCCAATTACCATACAAATACAGGTCTTTTGTAAATGTTAACATCTTTCCATTTTGTAAGTTCTTTCCTATTTATTACCCCACGGGGACAAGTAGGTGAGAACTGTCCCCATTTCACAAAGGAGCAAATAGGGTGATGGAGTTGAATGACTTGCTTAAGGTACTGACTTTGAACTCTGTGCTTTCTCTGGGAGTTTTGGTTACCTATTAAATGTCCCTCCAGAACACTGGTGGGATGAGGAAGTGGCAGTGGCCCTTTGAGTACAGAACTTTGGGAGGGAGCCAGCAAGGAAGCACTGTCACACAGAAGCCAATCGCACAGCTCAGATGGGTAGCAGATTATTAACAGTACTCCCAAATGGAGGTGATTATTATTATGGCAATGCTTTCCTTCATTTAGGACTGACAGCTAAAGGGCACAGAAGGAGGATCCCAGCCCTGGGGATACTGGTGCCAGGGTTCTGGGGGCCTGTTCGGCTTTGGCAGATCTCAGAGTGGGTCAGCAGGTGGTATGGGTGTAGAGGTGATGCCTTTTTGGAGAAAAGGGAAGATAAGGACACCTAACGCTTTCCAACTCTGGAGCCCAGGAAAGGGTAGCTGCAAAAAACTACAACTCCCAGAAGGCCATGCTTCAAGGCCAGTCGGCAATGGTTGCCATGGTTTCAGAAAACAATATGGCTGCTCCCAGATGGGACGTAAGTTTTTGGGTTAGGGAGGCAGAGGCAGGTCTGGACGCCCGCAGTGGCGAGAGAGAAAGCGTTTGAGGGGTCGTGAGGCTGGGTCTGGACGCTGCACGATTGGAACGGCTTGACCTTGCTGGGCCCCAATGGCGAGCAGTGTGGATGAGGAAGCGCTACACCAGCTGTACCTATGGGTAGACAACATCCCTCTGTCCAGGCCCAAGAGAAACCTCTCCCGGGACTTCAGTGATGGAGGTGTGCGCTCCTGTGTGTTTCTGCATATTCTGACCTGTATGGACGTGTGTAAGGGATCTGTGTGCTTACTGTATTTTTGGTATTTGGGTAACTGTGGTGTGTGTGTGTGTGTGTGTATGGGTGAGATCTACCTCCTAGGACTTCAACTGTGGAAGAGTACCCTTGTGTGTGTTTTCTATTTATTTCTATATGTGAACAATGTGTGTCTATGTGTATGTCCACCTGTTCTATCTGGTGTGCACATAGTGTGTGTGTGTGTGTGTGTGTGAGTGTGTGTGTGACTCCCTCCAGGGACTTTGATGACTAAGATACGTATCTATGTATGTATTTGTGCAGTGTATGTGTTTCCATGAGACTATGTAGTCACAGTCACAGACATTATTAATCCCAGTAATGTCTTCTGGGGTTTCAGGATGGAATATGCATTTTATATGTACATATTTGAGGAGGCCATGTATATATGTGACTCTGTACTTACATGTATATTCTACATGTGCACCTATGTGTATCTGGCTTGTAGGGTTTTTGTTTTTGTTTTTTGCTTGTTTTTGGTTTTGTTTTGTTTTGTTCTGAGGGTTGAATCCAGAGGCACTTAACCACTGAGCCACATCCCTAGCCCTTTTTAATATTTTACTTAGAGATAGGGTCTCACTGAGTTGCTGAGGTTGGCTTTAACTCGTGATCCTCCTGCCTCAGCCTCCCAAGCTGCTAGAATTACAGGCGTGTGCCACTGCACTAGGCTGACTTGTGTTTTTGTCTTGCATGTCTATACATTCTGCCCTACATATATATCTGTAGTGGGATCTTATCATGTCTCTGCTTGTATGAGTCTGTGATTCTCTCTGGAACTTTGGTGTTACAGTATGTGTGTCCATGTGAATTCCTAGGATAAGGCGCCATCCTCCTTAAGAGCTCTTAAGAGACTTAGATTCTGAGTTTTCCTATGCCCTGAGTTAACGGAGAAGGAATGCAGCTGAATCTTAAGTCTGACTGATGATCTTTGTCTCTTCTTTGTTTCCCTCCCTATTATCCTTCCCTTTTCTGCATCTTCCTCCCCACTGGGCTCAATCACTCTGCTCTTTTTTCTGTCCCTCCCTTCTCTTCTCCCACCCTCTTCTCCCTTATTCATCCCCCCATCTTCCATGTCTGCTTTCACGGTTACTCCCACAGTCCTGGTGGCAGAGGTCATCAAATTTTATTTCCCAAAGATGGTGGAGATGCACAATTATGTCCCTGCAAACTCTCTCCAGCAGAAGCTCAGCAACTGGGGTCACCTGAACAGGTAAAACAATACTTGGATGCAGGAGTGGAACTCTTCAGCCCCAACCTGCCTGAGTTCCCAGGAAAGCTGCCCCAGCCTCTTCATCTCCTATGGGGTTTGTTGTTGTTGTTATTGTTTATGATCTCTGCACTTTTAATTTCTTTTAAAAATATATTTTAGTTGTTGATGGACCTTTATTTCGTTTGTTTGTTTGTTTATATGCGGTTCTAAGAATCGAACCCAGTGCCTCACACAAATGCTCTACCACTGAGCCACAAACCCAACCCTCACTTTTAATATCTTAAGAAGAATGTTCACTTACTATGGTCTTAACTGTCCAGGCTGGGACTGTTTTGACGGTAGGGTGGTGAGGGCCAACACGACAGAATTCATCTGATAATAAAATCAAGGAACTTTTCTAATGGGAAGGAGACAAAGAACCTCGGGACACCCAATCTCGGGCAGGGGAGGGTGAGGCTCAGATGGCAAGCCCTTCTACTCCCCCTGGGCTGCACACTCAGGACTAAGACAACCGTGCCCCGCCCCTTCTCCCCTACTTTGATTTCATTCCCCACAGGACCCAGTCCACCATCCCTATGTCTATCCTGTAGGAAGGTGCTAAACAAACTGAACTTTTCGGTACCAGACGAGGTAATGCGCAAGATTGCTCAGTGTGCCCCGGGTGTGGTGGAGTTGGTACTCATCCCGCTGAAGCAGCGACTGGAGGAGCGGCAAAGGCGCAGGAAGCAGGGCTCTGGTTCCTTACAGGTGGCACCCAGCTCAAATCTCTCCAAATGCTTTGGGGAGGAGAGGTTCCCAGGCAGGGAGAAGCATCGCCTTTGCGATGAGTGTGGGGGAGGGGTGCCTGGCTAAAAGACCCTGATCTGGGGAACTGCGGAAGGGCCTAGGGGGGCTTTTGGGGGATGGGTGAGCTGAGACTCACAGTGGACCACTGGGATTCTTTCAGGAGCTGCCTCCCGCTGATGGCAGTGGCTACTTGGATGTGGGTAAGGTGGCCTTTCCTCCTTTCTTCTCAGGAGGGCTTTCTTCCTGACCTTCCTATGGCTTGCAGAATCGGAGGGGAAACAAAATAGAGCTACAGCAATGTCACTCCTCCATTTGCCTTGTCTCAGATGTGTCCCAGAAGACACGAGGGGAAGGTGCACCAGAACCCCAAGGAGGAGAGCAGCTCAGGTAAAGAAGCTGGAAGCAGTGTGATCTCAACAGGCTGGGTAATCTCCCCAGTCGGGCTGGGGGAGGTGATTGGGTGTGGAAAGGTGGGGAGGGGGAAAAGAGGAGAAGGGGAATAGTGAACGCCCGGCCCAATACACTGGAAGGGTGAGGGTGGAGCCCGAGGTCCAGGCCTCCGCTAAAATGCTTCCTACCTCAGGGCGGGGCGGCTGCCGGCGCCCCGGCCTCCTGGGTATAGCCAGGCGCTGCAGGGCGACCCAAGCTTCGTCCTTCAGATTGCTGAAAAGGAGCAGGAGCTGTTGGCCTCGCAAGAGACTGTGCAGGTGAGGGCAGGAGACCGTGTAGGTGAGGGCGCACTGGGAAGCCTTAGGGGGTTAGGGGCTGCAGAGTCGGGGCAGGACAGCCAGTGGCTAGGTTTGATTTGTGTGCGACGCCGCTCAGGTCCTGCAGATGAAGGTGAGGCGCCTGGAGCACCTGCTTCAGCTCAAGAACGTGCGCATCGAGGACCTTTCCCGGAGGCTCCAGCAGGCGGAGCGCAAGCAGCGGTGAGCGGCGCCTGAATGTCCCACTACATCCCACTACGGGGCTGAGCCCAGACGTCGCGACCCACCCACCCAACAGCAGATGCAAGATTGGGAGGGCGGAGCCAGCTGCTCGGCCCCTGTGCCTCTCTCCCTGGGGATGGGAGTGAGCATAGGGGCGTTAGGACTGGAGCCCTAGGAACCAAAGTTCGCGACTGAGCCGCCTCCTTACACTCCACCCGGGCCAGGAGAATGGACCGCTTTCCAGAGCCCAGAAGCCATGTGCGGAGACCCAGCGTGCCCACAAAAGCAGTGCCCAACACCTGGGGTCCCGCCTTGGAACTCCAGGTGTTGGGCCCCAAGAAGCCGTCTCTTGGTTCAGTCCACACCCCCAGACCCAGGTCACCGCCCAGCTCTGAGGCCAGCGACATCTTCATCCAGACTAGTTCTCCATGGCCTCAGACACGCGGGAAATTGCCCCTGGAAACCGAGTGGCTCCCATGCCCCTCCTGGGTGCTCACCTGGGACCCATCTCGAGGCTGGAGACCGAAGCACCTGGAGAGGAAGGCGTGATGAGTGGGAATAGCCAGAAATAGGAGACACATCCGTGGGTGCCTATAGCAGTCTCCCTCCCAGCCCATTGGGTACTGTCGGGTGTGCCTGGGGTGTGTCTGTGACAGGGCTGCCCTCATTAAAGGTGATGTTGTGCTTTCTTTCCTGTGCCTGCTTTCTCTTTCTGCCTGGATCCCTGAAGGCAGCAAATCTCCGCCCCCACCTTGTCCTCCACTCTGCCACCCTCTATCCCCCTTCAGTGAAAGAGTGTCATGAACCCAGAATGGGTCTCATGGGTGGTGGATCCTGTGTACTCACTGCTTGGTATATTGAAGAGATCACCAAGGGTCAGTTTTTTTTTTTTTAAGAGAAAAATTTTTAATATTTATTTTTTAGTTTCGGTGGACTCAACATCTTTATTTTTGTGTGGTGCTGAGGATCGAACCCAGCGCCCTGCACATGCCAGGCGAGCACACTACCACTTGAGCCACATCCCCAGCCCAAGGGTCAGTTTTTGTGAACTATGACAGCCTGACTTCTAATCCTGGCTTAAATGGACCCCCAAATGTATACCTTCACAGTATCCTGCAACTTTGTCTAAACCCAACCCTAAACCCAAGCCTCAGATTCTCCCCAACTGTGGCCACACCCTTACCCTCAACTGCCCATGGACTGACCCTTATCTTGGCTTTCTGTATGATTCCTGACTGTGCACACACTGCTCAAGTTCTATGGACTGAGGCCAACTTTATTCCCAACACTGACCAAGACATCAGGGCCTTGGTATGACCTTAACTCTGATGATTTGCTGACTACGAATAATGTGGAACATTTGTAAATCCTGAGTTATAGCAATTCCATTCCTAGGCGCATCCCCAGGGGAAACTTAAAACTGTTGTGTTCTGTGTTCTGAGAGATAAGTTACAGCAATATTCATAGCAATGCTCCAATGGCAACAACAAAAAATAACCTGTATTAGTTATCACCATATAACAAATTGCCACTAAATTAGAGATTTAAAACAACACATTTATTTATTTTTTAAAGAGAGAAAATTTTTAAATATTTTTCTTTAATTTTTGGCGGACACAACATCTTTATTTGTATGTGAGCTAAGTATCAAACCCAGCGCCACGCACATGCCAGGCAAACGCACTACCGCTTGAGCCACATCTCCAGCCCAAAACAACACATTTATTATCTCACATTTTTCTGTGGGTTAAGAGTCTAGGCACAGCTTTGCTGGGTCCTCTGCTTCAGAGTTTCTTACAAGACTGTACTCCAGGTGTCAGACAGAAGTTTCAACTGGGGAAGGAGCCATGCTGTCTTGATTGTGGACAGAATCCAGTTCCTTGTAGGCTATTGGACTGAGCTTTTCAGTGTTTTGCTGGTTGCTGGTGGGTGGCTGCCCCCATTTCCTTGCCATGTGGCCATCTCTGGCATACTAGCTTACTTCATCAAAGCCAATAAGGGAGAGAGTAAAGAGTGAGCTAGTGGGATGGAAGTTACAATGTTATCTGATGTAACCAAGGGAGTGACACCTCATCATATTTTTTGCCTGACATCTGTTTATTAGATGCAAGACACTGGGTCCAGCTAACATTCAAGGGGAAGGGTACATATGGGTATGAACACCAGGCAGGGATCATTGGGAGCCAGATTTCCTCCTTGTGGTAATGAAGGGACAAAAATCAAGGATAGTGGTTCCCTCTAAGAGGAAGCAAAGGGAAGAGATGAAGCATAGGCATTGGTATAAGTTATTTGTAATAGTTTAACTCTTAGAGCAGGTTGATAGGTATTCACAGTTATTTATGGACAAACAGGAAGAATTTCATGAATCAGGATTATATTTAGCCAAATTCAGTAATATTAAGAACATTTAGGGCTGAAGTATAACTCAGTGGTAGAGCACTTCCCTGGCATGGGCAAGGCCCTAGGTTCCCCTCGCACTGAAAAAAAAAAATCAATGAATGAATGAAAATCAAAATTGGTGACTACTCCTTTGGTCTGAGCCCCATCCCTAAGCTCAGCAGGGACTTGGGTTCAAACACTGATTTTCTACCTAATCAAACCACTAGCTTCTCCCACACACTGACCACAGTTCTAACACTCTTTTTAGTCAACATTAGATTTCCAGAGTTCTATTCTCTAAAACTTCCATTCACTTAACCATATTATAGGCTCCTATATGTGATACTAGTAGTCATAGCTTATATGAAGAATCTGAGGAAACATCAGTTGGGCAGATTATGGTTCTGCCTAGCAGGAGCACAGTGGCCCTAGAATACAAGTTCGGTGACTGGGTTGTGCCCTAAAGAATCTGTTGGCCTCTCCATGATAAAGGTTGGGCTGGGTCTAGGAGGCTCTTCTTCCTTGAGACCACTCCACCCCTGTTATCAGATATACCAGAGACTGTACCAACCCACAGGCATATCTCCATGACCCACAAATCAAATCCCAGAAGCAATTGGAGGATTTTGCTAAATGTCTCTTGGGGATATTAAAGTAGATTACATCTTACATTATAGCTCTATAACTCTTCTTTAAATATCTCTCTCATTCTCAAAATTCCCTTTGACAGCCAATGCTCTCTCCCATTTCTGACCCCCAATAATTCTAATTTCCCTGGTTAATTCATTGATTGATTCACCAAATGTTTATTGAGTGCATATCATGTGCCAAATGCCAGGAACACCAAGAAAAGTATAAAATAGTGTTCACAATCCTGTGGGAGAGAAAGGCATGAAAAGAGTATCCAGAATTTGTTATTTAAGTTGAATGCAGTGGTACACACCTATAACCCCAATGACTCAGGAGGCTGAGACAGGAGGATTGCAGGTTTGAGGCTAGCAAGACCCTATCTCACGTGTCAAAATGCACGTATAACCAATCAGAACAAATTTTAAAAACAAAAAAAAGATTGTATCTCAAAATAAAAAAAATAAAAATGGCTGTGGTTGTAGGTCAGTGGTAGAGCATCCCCCTGGGTTGGGTTCAATCCTCAGTACCAAAAAAAAAAAAAAAAGTTCTATTGTCTATCCTAAATTTACTTTGTCAGTCCTCTACTTCAGAAAGCATTTATTTCCAGGCTTTTGTTATTAATAATAATGCAACAATGAATAATCTTATATATTAGTATATTTAGTATTGTACATGAGTATATATGTATGATAAATTCTAGAAACAGGATTGGTTGGTTAAAAATATATGCATTTGTAATCTTGATACTATGAGATTGTCCTGCAGAAGGACATGGCTCATAGTAGAGGCTGAAGACTGGTGGCCTGTTGCCATGCTTTGACTTGCATGGTGTAGTATTTTTATAAAATTAAATGCTAATTTTTATGTTGATGAAGATGTGAAGCAACTAGAACTCTCACACTCTTCTAATGGGAGTGTCAAGAATTACATTTCAGAAATGTTTGGCAGTTTCTACAGATGCCTATGCTATCATTTATGGTTTAATCAGTAGTAGAAGGGATTTCTTATAGGGATTTGACTAGATAATTGTGGAAGTTGTTTAAGAGTCTCCAATCTCTGTAACACTTTTGTTTTTGCACCTAATTCTGGAGCTTAAAGTCTACAAGAAGGCCGATGGGAAGATGAATATAATGCAGGGGACAGAAAGAACACACTGGAATCCACGAGCATAAGCTGGAAGGCTTGAGGACAAACTGGAACTCATGTCAGTTCTCACTGCCTCTAATCTGGATGTGAATAAACTGCAGAAGCAGCTGGCCCAGGAGTCAGAGAAGTGAAAGAGGACCCAGGGAAGGTGTAAGTTGCAGGCCTAACTGCTATCCCATGTCAATGAGGTAAGCTGCAGATCAGCAACAATGTGTGTGGGCTACAAAGCCCCAGCCTGGAGCTTGCAAATGTCAAATTCGGTATTTTTTTTTAATAAAAAATTTTTCAGTTTTTGGTGGACACAACATCTTTATTTTATTTTTATGTGGTGCTGAGGATCGAACCCAGCACCCTGCGCATGCCTGGCTAGCGGGTTACCGCTTGAGCCACATCCCCAGCCCCTCAAATTCGGTATTGTTGCTGCTTTCCTTTCATTCTTCAAATCTCATGCAAAAATGTCTGTCATGGCCCACATGGCCCACCTTAATTGGAAACATATATTAAAGAGAATTTCTGAAACAGTTTACTCTAGCTAAATTGACATATTATAAAACAACACAGTTATGTCCCAGCAATTCCATTTCTAGATAAATACGCAAGAGAAATGCACACATACATTCACTAAAAGACATGTACTAGGCTATACATTATTATTTTTTTTAACTTTTTAAAAAATATTTATTTTCTAGCTTTCGGTGGACACAACATCTTTATTTTATTTTTATGTGGTGCTGAGGATCAAACCCAGTGCCCCGCGCATGCCAGGCAAGCACGCTACCGCTTGAGCTATATCCCCAGCCCCATTATATTATTTTTTGTTCTTTTGTTCAATATTGTGAGAATTATCCCTGTTGTTGCACGTATTCAGTATGATGTTGTCACTGATAGGTAATATATCATTGTACAAATATAGTGCAATTTATCTATTCATTTTATTATTGATATATATTTGGTTATTTCTAGTCTGGGGCTATTATAAATGCAACCATATACATGTATTCTGGTATATAATTGAGAGGAATTACTGTGTAAAAGTGGGCATATATCAATTTTATTAGAATCTGCCAAGTAGCTTTCAAAAGAGGACACAGTTTTTTATTAAAAATAATAAGAGTCAGGCTGGGTATAAAGCTTAGTGATTGTTTTAGTCAGCTTTTTTGTTCTGTGACCAAAAGACCTGACAAGAACAATTTTAGAGGAGGAAAATTTATTTGATGCTCACAGTTTCAGAGGTCTTAGTCCATAGATGATTTATTCAATTCTTCAGAGCTTGGGATGAGGCAGAACACCGTGATGGAAGTGTGTGGCAAAGGAAAGCAGCTGGGAACATGGCACCAGGAAGCAGAGATAAAATTACAAAGGCACATCCCCAGGGGCCCACCTCCTTAAGCCACAACCTATCTGCCTACAGTCACCCCCAAGTTAATCCTATCAGGGGATTAATTAACTGATTAGGTTAAACCTCACATGTTCCAACCATTTAATCTCTAAATTCTCTTGCATTGTCTCACACATGAGCTTTTGGAGGATACCT